ATAACGGATAAGAGCCTGTGGCCTAATGGCTAAGATGTCTGCCTAGTATGTAATATAGCCCAGGTTCAAATCTCAATTTTAGAAAAGCAGTTAAAAGGAGGCTCATCGAAGGCAATTGCAGAACAATTGTATACTGTTATGCTGCAAATTTTATTTTGCCTAAATTTCCTTGACGACAGAGCTGCTTTTGTATCATTTGTAAAGCCAGCAGAGTTTCCCAAATGCAGGTTATTTGCCCCCCTCCCCAAAGGGTATTTAAGGTGTTTTGTAATACAAGATTGTAAAAAAGAGGAATTGTTCCTTTCCACTAATTTCAATATCCATGCTGAAAAAGGCAGCTTCTTGAATCACGTGACTGAAACTTCCCTCACTTATTTTTCTTCTGGGTTTTTATTTTCCAGCTCAGAATGGATAGTAGCAAGAAAGAGATGCTGGATCAGAAGCCTCTCTTGGAAGTGCAAGTACTACTCTCCATGGATTCTGCTCCGGATAGAGTCATGGATGGAGGAGCAGGGGGACTTACAGGGGAAAAGATACCCTGGGAAATGATCACCCCTGTTTGCAGCTTTGAAAAACTCTGAATCATTCAGCTTTTGGGGAGCAATAAGTTTTGACCTGCTATTCTAGCATGCTACTATGGTTGATGCCTGATCATTTATTTAATTGCTGAAATGTGACGTGATGAGCTACTGCCAAGAATCTCATAAGGAGGATTATCTACAAGCCAGTGAGGGCTTCATCATTCTTCAAGAAGAACATTAATAGTGAAATTAAACAATTATAACTGAAATGAAGTCTCAAATGCTAACAACAGGCATGGTCAGAAGGTGAATGCTGTGGGAAGCAGCAAAGGATCTTTCTGCTGGTGGAAATCTTGATCTATATGCAGCAAACAATTCAGATGATTGCTATACTTTTGAGTGATCAGAACTTGAGGGTATCAGATGAAATATCAGGTTCATCTGTCATTGCCTTACTGGAATTTCTTTTATAATTAAGTTTTACTGCCAACGATTTCAAGAAATTTCACCCTTGGTAAATGTAAGACTGGCCCTTGGAGCAATACCACAAAGTGGGAAGAAAAGGGTGGGTAGTTCCATCATCTCATCATGGTGCTTCCACCCCCAGATAAGCGCCATGTGTGTCTTACTACCATTGTTATTATGACCAGCATGGCATTCATGGATGCTTATCTGGTAGAGCAGAACCAAGGGCCTCGTAAAATTGGTGTCTGCATCATTGTTCTGGTAGGAGACATCTGCTTTTTGATTGTGCTGCGCTATGTGGCCGTCTGGGTGGGGGCTGAGGTGAAGACAGCCAAACGGGGCTATGCTATGATTCTTTGGTTCCTCTATATCTTTGTGCTGGAAATCAAACTGTATTTTATATTCCAGAATTATAAGGCTGATAAGAGAAATCTGGAGACGGTGGCTAGAAAGGCACTGACCTTGCTTCTCTCTATTTGTGTGCCAGGATTGTACCTAGTGCTAGTAGCCTTGGACAGCATGGAATATATACGTACCTTCCGGAAGAAAGAGGATTTGCGAGGGCGTCTCTTCTGGGTGGCCTTGGACTTATTGGATATCTTAGATATTCAAGCCAACCTGTGGGAACCACAGAAGACTGGTCTGCCAATCTGGGCAGAAGGACTCATGTTCTTCTATTGCTACATATTGCTCCTGATCCTGCCCTGTGTTTCCTTGAGTGAGATTAGCATGCAAGGAGAGCATATTGCTCCCCAGAAAATGATGCTCTACCCTGTCCTGAGTCTGGTGACCATAAACATGGTTACCATATTCATCCGAGCCATTAATATGGTCCTGTTTCAAGACAGCAGAGTTTCTACAATCTTCATTGGCAAGAATATCATTGCCATTGCTACCAAGGTCTGCACATTCCTAGAATACAAGAAGCAAGTGAAGGAGTTCCCACAAAATGCCATTGCACTTGAGCTCCAGCAGAACTCGGTGCCCCACAACCAGTCCCTCCACAATACACAAGGCCTTCCTCATGAGCCATCCCCCACCAGGGAGATTTTGGACACATGATGAGCCTCTTCTTAGATATCAGCATTGGTTCTTGTTTACTTGGATGGAGAGAATGGGCAGAGAAATAATACTGCTCTCATTCCAGCATAGAGAGCTGCTTCTAGCACAAGATTTTAACAAATGGAGGAACATCCCCCTGCAACTCAGGTATTTCCAAGGGGCCCTCTGGAAAGAAAGCAAAACCAATGGACCTTCCAAGCAGAACCTCATCTACTCCAGCATCTGATCTTTTCTATCTGTTTGTTACCTGTGCTTCAACTTGTAAGGAATGAGAATTTGTTATCACGGCCTTTTTTAAAGAAAGGGACAGGGTGGGATGGGGCAGGAGGGGAGAATCAGGACTGGCACTTCAGTCAGTGCACCAGTATATTGAGTCTTATTGGAAATGGTTGTGTTTACAGTTTCTTATTTTCAAACAAAACAAAAACAAAAAAAAGGTCCTGTAAAGTTGCTGCAGAAAACTGGATTTGGGGCAGTTTTTTTAAATCTTTACTAAATAGATCCTTTGCTCTGTTCAGTTCCACTCAGCAAGCAGCAGCCTCACTCATTTGGCCAGGAAAGTTCTAACATTGCCAAAGTCTTCAGCCAGCCCTTCAAAGAATCTTATTTAACATCACATCTCATATTTTAAGAACATTTAAAATGATTCAGTGCAAGATTTCTGTTTTTCAGAAAACAAGTATTTCTGTTCCATTCACGTGTGTGCACACTTGAGTTCTGATGATGGAATGACGTTCCAGAGCTTTTCAAGCTACACTGGCCTGGGGAAACATACAGGTAGTACTATAAATGAAAACGGAGATTCACAGAATGATGAGCATTCACTTTTATTCCTGCAGCAGCTTAATTTATAACTGCTGCTTTTATATGAACTACACAGACAGCCTCTAAAATAAGGTATGGGACAACACCTTTAAGCAAAAACTATTGGGACACAAAACAGAGCAACAGTTTCCCAGCAAAAATGTTGCACAAGCCTGAAAGCAATGCAAGACTATTTTTTTCTTAGTGATCTCCCATTCCCTCACTGGTGTCTTGATCACATACCAACAGATTTTTTTCCCAGTGAGTACTCATTCTGCATCAGATACCTCATTTGGCCATGCATAGCCATTCCTCACTTAGCAACCTAAAACAAGGAATCAAATTTGTTCTTTTGCCATCCCCATAAAAATATATAGTCAATCTTATTGTGGTGGGATTTACTATATGCTTTTTAAGCTCGGTCTTGTCATTAGGTAAGGATATGAACATTTGGCCTATAAGTAGAAAATATTCAACTCGTTTATTACAGTGAATGAAAGCAAGAGAATTGGCAGAAGAGAGTCTAAACATTCTTGTTATACAAAGTAGCCATTCTCTCAACCAAAAAAGCAGTGGAGAGGAATGTAAAGGGAAGAGGCAGTAGGAACATAAGTTTTGAAGATACTACCTATCTTGAAAGATGCAAATGTATAAGGATAATGCAGTCTTGCTCTGCATGGATCTGGGGTAGGGTATTGGGAATTAACCAAGTCACTACCTACATTGACCTTATTGCTCTTACTACTTTACTAATTTTGGCCTCCCAAAACATGTTCAGGGTGTTGCTATCCCTGAAGGAAATATATGAAGATGCTTAGTGCATTTCATTATTTTGTCAATTGTCTGAGGTTTGTGTGATGCAGCTCCAAAGAGTTCAGTCACACCTTGGCCTGTGCATTTTATTTTGTTTGAAGATCATTCTATGTAATAAAGGGTTCTGGACACCCACCCACCAAGCATTTTTTTTGACGTGCATATTTTCCTTTCGTGGTTATTGTTGCTCTTATTTATCCAGAAATCAGCATGTCCTCTATGAACATCAAAGGTAAGAGCAATGAGTTAACTTTTGAACCAACAGTCTTTGCTTTTGTTCAAGTCTATGCAAATAGGCCATTAATCGATTAGGCAGACATCCAAAAACCACTTTGTAAAAGAGAACCCTTTCAACATAAAAGTTCATCAGAAGAGTATAGTTTTTAAAGAAACATGGTTGAATAATTTGACAAGGTACAAGGAAAATGACTGATTCAAAATAGCCTTTCATGTGCCAGAGAATAGCACCAGGAAGGACCGTAAATAAATACCGTATTTTTCAGAATATAAGACGCACCTTTTCTCCCCCAAAAAAGAGGGTGAAGATTTGGGTGTGCCTTATACACTGAATGTAGCCCCCTCACCTCCATCAGAGGCCACAAATATGAGGTATGGAGGCAGCAATGGTCTGTGGCAATTCCTGAAGCCTGCAACAGCTGATTGGGGGTATTCCGGCAGTCTGATCCACTCGTCAATCAGCTGTGCTGAATCAGGTTGCAATAGGTTCTGAAGCTGATCTGGCTGGTCAGAGTTTCCAGCAGCAATCACATTCAGAAAGCACACACAAGTAAGCAGGATTCAAAATAACAATAATATACAATCCAATACCATAAGCAGGTTTTCCAAGGTAGCAGTAAATACAAGCAAAACACAAGCAATTTCACTTTCAGTTCTCAGCTAAGCCAGGAGGCTCCTTCCTGTCTCTTAGTTCGTCACATGACAAATACTCAGAGTCCAAATAGCCCTCATTGGTTGACCTAGTTGCTATGCCTATTCATTGACCTTGTTAACATGTGTTCCACGTTAGGAAGCTAGCCATCTGAATACCATGGATGTTGGTGGGCAGAGGCAGATTTTTTTCTTCTTATTTCCTCCCCAAAAACTAAGGTGTGTCTTATACTCCAGAGCATCTTATACTCCAAAAAATACGGTAAGGATTTTATTTTATCAAGCCAATTCCATTGTAGGTTTTCTATGCAAAATATGTAATACATTATAATAAAATATAATAGGTTTTTCATTATATTAAATTATATTTAATTTAAATATATATTTA